CTCACTTTTGTTTTTTTTTTTTTTGATGTCACTGTCAAATAAGATAACAAACTTCGATATTTCCATCGCATATTTTACCCATTGGATTGTTATCAGACAATTTATAATTTGGTGGGACAGACCCTTAACATATAGACAAGTGTCATACTAACCGAATTATAACGTTGTAAGAACGTCAAATTCCCCAGCAGTGGGTTCGGCGGAACAAAGGGTACGCCTCGGTCCGCCCAATATCTTTTCACTTTTGACCAACGCACGTAAACCCACGCCAGAAATAGTGATGTAGCAAATATTAACAGCAGCAAAAACATCTAAAATACCAAAAAAAATCGTAAACTTAAATCGATATTTAAGTTATCTCAAGCTTGGAAAACTTAGTACTTTTGAATACTTCTAATCGACTGTTATCCCATTAAAAGCCTTAGCAAGTTGTATGTAAGAGGTGGCGTCTTCAACGCTTTGCGACCAAAAGCCTAAATGATCTCTAGATGGCAAATATTGGCAGGAAAATTTTCCATAGCGTGCAATGCGCCATTTGCTTTTTTTTCACTCTTTTCTTGTGTTTCTTTTTGTTTCCATTAATAATTGTGTATATGGCCATTGTTAACATTGGAAGGTACTGATCACGAACTAGCGTTAAGAATAATAAGTATCCATTGAATCAACTAATTTGTTTCATTGTTTTTACTTAAATTTATATTTAGATTAGAGTATTTTCTTGACAGATTAAATAAATCTATCACTTAACAGATGTCACGTTGTTAAATACTTTGAGCTCAATATTGAAACGACATTAGAACGTGTAACAGCGTCCAAATTTCATTAACATTTGTGTTTGGCAGATCGTAAGTGATGTGAAGCGATATGTTTAAGATTCGTATTACTATTCCGCCGTGAGTTTTATGGTACACAAATAGATTTAAAAAAAAGTTATATGCAGGATGGCATAATATAATAACTTGCTGTTGTTAGCGACTTCGTCCGCGTGGAATTTAAAAAATAATAAAAATATAGCAACATGTTACTACAGTAGTTTTTGAATTATTTCAATACACACAAAAATACAAATCTTTCCTCTTTACAACATTAGTTTAGAATATTATAAAATTAAACCTTATTTTATTCCTAAACTTGTTTAGAGGCTAATTAATAACAGATTAGTTAAGCTACAATTGATAATAGATGGCGCTGAGATCAATTGTAAATATATTTGTAATTTAAAAATAAAATCATATTTAGATTACATAGTAACATGTATTGTAAGGAAGTTAATTATAATATAATAATTGTTTAAGATGCAAAAATATTGTTGATGAATATTTAATAACGTACTGGCCGCCAAGAAAACATTAGACATAACTTTAATTTTAAAAAAACAACAACAATTTTAGGCGCGAATGTGAGCAAGATGTGAAGCGAACAATTTAATGGCGTTTTTAACAGTGCGTTTTTACTATTTTTAGTAAATAGTATGTGTGTTTATCAGCAAATAAAGAAGATTTTATAAATGGTACTAATTTACATATATATTTAACGTATTACAATAACGAATTACCTTTTCTTTGAATAGCTACGACGTAGCGTGCACTAGACTACTTCAATACTGCCAAGTTCTAAACAATGCACACTTTTATAAATGAAGAGAACTTTTAAACACAATTACGCACAAAAACACTTATTAAAATTTATCTAAAATCACATTTTTTTCGGTACATCCCTAATAGAAAAAGTCACAGTTTGCGCCCGTGTCAATCTTGTTAGGCATTTCCTACACAAGGCAACTTAAATATGAAACTAAAATTGTTACGCTAGTCCACACAACATTGAATCGTTTTCCACTGACAATCTCAACACACCTGTACTGAAGGACAAAGAATGGCGACGCAAAAAATGTTTGCAATGTATGCCAATGTACGAATCTTTATTTTATTGTATTACGTAATTCACTTAACGAATAAAATCGCTGCGTAACGTAGCTTTACTTAGCCTTATGTGTGAAAAGCCTTAATTACAGTTGTCCTGCTTCTTAGACATTCTCACTTAATTGCATTCTTTAACATTCTTCATATAAGAAATTATAAGAGCAGGCGCACACCTTTGACTAAACTATCCCACGAATGTTGTGCGATTGTCGATTGTCAATTGTTTTGGCAGCCGAATCAACTGTTTAGTTGCACAACTAAAGAGAGTAGTGTGCGCACCTCCATATAAGCTCATAGGGATCAAAGCAAGACTAAACAGTTCTACGACAGTTTAGTCAAAGGTGCGCGTACGCTCTAATATGTGTTATGGTTGTCTAAGGGATGTCGGTGTCGGATCAGTTAAGAATAAATGACTCACTGCTCTTTTGCCCATTTATCACAAGTTTAAGTTAGTCGAAAGTAATGCAGTTTTTTTTAATAGAACAAGCAGCTAGAATAATGTTCTCATTCAACTGAGGCAAACAAAAATTTCATTAAAACTTTGAAACTCCGTTCGCCATATTTCATTCCACAGGTTTTTATAACACAACACGCGGGATTTTTGTGTTTGTTTTATGTCCATAATTTGTACCGGAAACCTCGCGGACTACGGTACAGGTTAAATATTCAAAAGTAATTTAAAAAACGGAATATATTACTTCGCTTTGCAAAATTTACGACGTCCTGTTATGACTTTGGCTTCTGCATCAGTGTTAATAAGCTTGCTTCGTAACATCTTATTCTAGACTAGTTGTTCCCATGCGGCTTTACTGAATTATAAAAACTTTATTTTTTTGTTTACATTTATCAATTTGTTAATTGCAAATGACAAAATTTCCGTTACCACAATAACCTTGCTTCCCTAATGTTGGCAGCTTGTAGTTTATGGTGCCTTTCCCACATAAAGGGTTTTGTTTCAATTTATTTACCTCTAAGTTTAATAGCGTGAAGGTAACAACCTAAATTGTGTAGTAAATGTAGGGTTTTTTATTAATTAGCTATTCAAATAACTTTTACTATTTTTTTTCGTCATAGTGATCGAAAAATTTGCTCGTAAAATATGTCGTAAATATAAAAACACTTAATAATGGAGTCCTCATAATATAACACACGCAAACTCAATTATTATAATCATTAAAAAAAATTATAACTACAAAATGCACTGACATTCACTGAAGCTGGTCACACTGCCATGTTATATGCGAAGAAGCTACGTCACCGAGCTCTGATTGGTGTTTGAGATAGAGTATTGGAGGGTAAAAAATATTGCAGCGTTTTTAATTTATATTTCAATGGAGACAAACATTTAAGGTCTCCAAATGTTATTATAGGTTTTAAAATATTAAACATAACTTTATTTGAATTTGTAACATTAGGAAACATCCCCATTAAATGCAATCGCACAACGGTCGTGCGATTATTAATTATTTCGCAGTTAAATCAACTCTTTATTTGGACAACTAAAGATCGAGTAGTGTAACATATAAGCTTATAAGATTCATAGCGTGACTAAACAGTTGTGCGATAGTTTAATCAAAGGTGTGTACGCATTCTAATACTAAATGTAAATCACTCTTCTATATTAGACTATACTCTAAAACATATAAAAAATATTGGGAAATGCAAAACCAGTTACGTCGAAGGCGTTTCGAATTCATTTTTACTAATTTAAATTTGTATTTTCTACATGTACTGTTTTCAGATACTTTATGACTCTCCGGGGAAGAAAACGTATCAAAACCAATTCTTCAAAAACGATTAAATCAATTGTAGGCTACAATGAAATTTACATAATTAAGTACAAACCCATATACTTAAAATTATAATATACAACACTACAGATAACAGCGACCAAAATAATTGTATTACGTGTAGAAGTCGAGATAAACAATAATTTATAACAAAGTAATTTAATTGTCATTAGGTTTTCATTGGAGTGGTAGTGTCGACAGAAAATTAGTTTTTATAACTTAAACAGGACGAATGTAAGTTTTTTTTTTATCTAGATTTATAAGATAGATTCTAGTTTTGATTTATAATTTGTCTTTTTATAAAAAAAGTAGTTCGAAAATATATTAACCAACGAAAAATAATATTTCAAATTGAAGAAATAAAACGAATTCATTAAAATTCAATTAATTTATTAAGATTATCGTAAACACGCGCAAAATTAAAGTGAAATTGTTTAAAAACAACATACTGGATTGATTCCTTAAAATTAGTGCAATCCATAGAAGTGAATATAAGTGAAGATTGCGTTTATTTTCATGTACTTTTATTTTAGAAGATTTAGGCTCACTAAAGAATTTTAACCATTTTTTCCTCTGTGTCCGCAACTCGTTTATTCCGGGTAATCCGCAAAAATCTGTGCCGACTTTGATAGGACTTTTAATGGAAAGTAGTCGATGTATGTATAGTTTTTTTTAGCTTTTTTCCACGCTGACGAAGTTACTTGCAACCGCTACGGAAATATAGCGGATAATTGTGCTCTAACCAACGATGGTATTTATTTTCGAATATTTTCAGATGTTAGTCTTACTAACAACAATACTATTGCTCCTTTTAACATGGTTTGTGGTCCGTTGGCAGCGAGTACGACGTTATTGGGCAGATAGGGGGGTACCTTATTTACCACCACATCCTGTTCTGGGAAGCCTGACGTTCTTGCAGAAGCAAAATGCTGTAAGTTCTTTCAAAATTTAATTTAAAAACCAATATTATTGACAGACAGACAATGAGTTTTAATATAGAAAAGAATTAAATGCATTTATTGTTTTCGTATGCGAATGTAACACAAAACATGTTAATATATAACATTTGTTTTTGTAACAGTAGTCAGTATCTGTGAATACTATTATTATATCATTAGTACTTATATGTCCAGTTATATATGTGCATTGCCACTAATCTACAACAATGCGATACATCAAGATTATGTTACTGATATGCAGATTGCAATTTGTACTGCAGTACCGGCAGTGCAGAGAGTACATTTATATCAATTCTTACTTTTAGAGCGTGCCCTTTTGACCAAACTATCGCACAACTGAGTCTTGCTTTGATTCCTATGAACTTATCTGGAGGTACACTACTCGAATTTAGTTGTGCGACTAAATAGTTGACTTGGTTGGAAACAATCGGCAATCGCATTACAATTATGCGATTGTTTAGTCAAAAGTATGCACCCCATTTTGAAATAAATTAAACGACAGAAATTATTATTGACTTTGATTTTAGACACAGTTTAAAATATAAATTTATCTAGGCTCTATGGATGCGGGATGTATACTTGCGTGTTCGCACTCCCT